CCCCCGCGCGCGCGGTGACACTATGTGCTTCTTCCACCCTTGGCCTCACGGTTCCGCAGATCGTTCTGGAGAACTACGCCTTCCCGGGAGGGCTCATGATTGGGACGGACTCCCATACCCCTAACGCGGGAGGGCTTGGCATGTGCGCCATCGGCGTCGGCGGGGCGGACGCGGTGGATGTGATGGCCGGTATGCCGTGGGAGCTCAAGTGCCCCAAGGTGCGTGTTGTGTCTTGCCTTCAGTTTCCTCAAGAAGTGTAGGTATGTCGTGTGTCTTGCCTTCAGCAAACTTCATAAGTGGATATGGCTTAAAAGTGGCAGGGAAGTGTAGTATGTTGTTTTTTTTTCGTGGGGTGGATAGGTGGTTCGGTTGGTGGTTTTGGCCGGAAGACGGAGCAGGAGGTCTTGGGGGTGCCTGGAATCCCTCGTGAATTTTGAAACGAACAGGCAGTGCACGCAGCCTGTATCGTGGGAGTGGAGTTGCTGGGTTGGACTACTGGCGGACGTGTTTTTTTCGTGCTGAACGTGGCGTGTTTCGTCATTCCGGTTTTAATTATATCATGGTTGCCTCGATCGAGCTGGAGCTCAGCTATGCTCGATTTCGCCAAAAGCACGTTCATCGTTCGCCCTCGCCAAGCGAAAAGTGGGGTCGCTCCCCTTTTCGAAATTTGCAACATCTTTTGCCTCTGAAAAGGGTGTTCCCGGCCGCCTGTGTATACCCTGAAGTCTCAAATCACGGAACGCTTGCCAACCACACGCTGTATTTACCTAAAGCCGCGGTGATTTGTCCCACTGTCAGCAATACTTTGTTCGCTTGAGCGCGATTGCCCCTTTTATAGTGGGACCCTGCAAACGTTCCCCCGGGGGGAAGGGCGAGGTTCCGATCATGTCCCGGGGAAAACAAGGGCGAGAGGGGCATGGTTCTTTCTGACTCGCTGGGTACAGGGAACCCAACGCGGGCAGCAATGCATTAGGCAGTGCATCTCAAGTGTCATCTCAACGATCCTTTCGCAGGTGATCGGTGTGAAGCTGACGGGCAAGCTCTCCGGCTGGACCTCGCCCAAGGACATCATTCTCAAGGTGGCCGGCATCCTCACCGTCAAGGGCGGGACCGGCGCCATCGTCGAGTACTTCGGCCCCGGGGTGGACTCGATCTCTTGCACCGGCATGGGCACCATCTGCAACATGGGGGCAGAGATCGGGGCCACTTGCTCTACCTTCCCGTACAACTCTCGCATGCAGGACTACCTCGAGGTGAGGGAGTAGGGCCCAGGGGACAAGAGGGGGGGGGTGCTATCGCGCGTGCTTACATTGAATGAGCCGCGGATTACTTGCGGGCGTGTTGTGTGTGTTTGCACGGTTTAGTTCTCCTGATGTTTGTTTTGGCAAGCCAGAGGCGGTGGTGTGATTTGATATGTATCGGGGGTCACCGCTGCACGATGCAATTGTCTCGTGTGTTTTTGACATGACAGTGACTGGTGTGCGCTGATACATCGCAAGAGTCACTAGTAATCAGCCGTGATCGTTGTAACTGTCTTGGTGGATATTCGTGTTCGAATCAGCGTTAACAAGTGGGCGAAAGCATGACTTCGCCTTTGGCGCACACGCATTGAACTCTTTGAACGAAACTCGATGGTCATTTGCAAATGTATCGTGTCTCTACGTACACGTATGCATGGCATTCGGCATGCCATCTCTCCAAACATACCTCTACACGTCGGCACAACCTCCTCTCTTTAGATCATTTGTTTTTATCAATCGCCCCAACACCTCTTCGTAATTATTTTTGCCGTAAAAAAACCACCCCCGCAGGCAACGGAGCGGTCGGGGATCGCGTCGGCTGCCAACTCGTTCAAGGAGCACCTCCGTGCCGACGAGGGCGCCCCGTACGACGAGGTGATCGAGATCGACCTCGACACGCTTCGCCCGCACGTGAACGGGCCCTTCACGCCCGACCTCGCGCACCCCGTCGGGGCCGAGTTCTCGGCTGCCGTCAAGGTGCGGAAGCGTGTTCGGGAGAGTCGGGGTTGGGGGGTGTTCTCATGCCGTGGTCGTTGTGTGTAGACAATCGCATCCCTTCAATGGCGGGACGAGCGATATGCTGAGTGTTTGCCGGACCAGGTCACTTGTCACGAGGATGAACCGGAAGCTGGTCATCATCCTTGCGCTTGCTGTGCCAAACCAGATGTGTGATGGGTTGGTGGGTTAGGGCTTAGCGGTCGCGTTGTTGGAGTTGCTGATGGTGGTAGTAGATGGAGATGGGACAGATGTTCGGCAATGGGAGAGTGGTGGCTGTCTCGTTGAAGGGGGCTCCGCAAACTGGTAGCCTCGCGGTGGGAGGCGGTGGGAGTGCCCACGTGCCGACGATTCTGCATGCCGTAGAACGCGGTGAGACCCTCAGAGACTAAACAAAACTCTTAACCTTCGATCGGGTCGTCTTTGAATATCTGTCAAGTCTTGCTAGCGAGTCTCAACTGCCGCCTCTGCTGCTGCTCTTGATCCCTGTTTCGGCTGAAAATGTACCATTATTTTTAGGAAAACGACTGGCCGGATGACCTGTCCGCCGCACTCATCGGCTCCTGCACCAACTCGTCCTACGAGGACATGGCCAGGTGCGTTGTGTCTCTGTCGTCGTTGGTGCTCGCTGTCGACGTGATGGCGAGAGGCCCGTGGCAACGCTTGCTGTGCGCGCGTGCCTCTGCGAAACCGGTGCAGAACCAATGTTGGAGGGCCTGTCTTCGTCTGTCTTGTTTGCTTGACCGCGCCTACGTGGGTGCGGTCAACCGGCTGCTTTATTTTTCCTTGCCAAGGCATGCCAGAGCAGTCCACAGACACTATATCTCACCCTACTTGTTGCTAGAGCCAGCCGACGAGTATCGTAGGCATTGCCAGTCAACTAAGCTCCCTGTTCATTTTTTTGTGTAATGGTTCACTCGTGAGAACGGAAGCGGGGAGGGCCTCACCATGCGCGCAAGAATGTGACGCATGACACCTCATTCGCCAATATTTAGCAAGGGCGCTCATACGCCAGGGACGGGACCCCGTAGTCTGAAACTCACGCATGCCGAAAATACCAACGGAACATGTTTATACATATTGGCAGAGTACACGAAGCAAATGAGCCACAGCAGTAGGTTACCCGACAATGTCAACGAGGCACCGCACACAAACCGATGAGTAACCACTGCTGTTCCAGGCTTCTAACCCACAAGCATGTTCGTCCGGACGGTCTTCGGGTAGGGGGGCACACAGAGAGGATTCCTGTTGCCCCCACCCCACCCCCCACCCCAATCGCCTGTTGTACGGTTCCATACATGCATTTCGCGATACAACCATTCTTAGCGCAAGCCTTGTTTGGACATGACTCGTATCTTCACGCGACATCGCATCACCTTGACGGCGTGGGATCTATCGCAGGTGCGCTGACCTTACGGAGCAGGCGAAGAAGGCGGGACTCAAGTTTAAGGTCGACATGCTCGTCACGCCCGGCTCAGAGCTGGTGAGTGAGTGGTGTGGATGGCGCGACCCATGCGAGCCAGAGCTAGACATGTTCAACACGACTAAAGTTGTTTTCGTTTGGACACAACGCAACGGCATAGCACGATTTTAGGGGATAAGCAGCTGGATCTCCGGTTGGCTCTAGTAAACCTGACCCTGCATTTCGATGTCCGCATCGCCGCTGTAGGTGTACAGCAGTCGATCGGTCTAAGTAGAAAGAGTAGATACCCTTTGGGAGCGGAGCGGAGGAAGTGGTAACGGAGTATCGGGCAACAACAGGCTGGCTTCCGCGCATTGCAATCCGCGTGTGTTTGTTTCAGACTTTTTTGCTTCCTGGAACGGCAATGTTGGGTTGGAAACCACAACGATGTGTATCGCGCGTTGCGTAGACAAATCACGTTCGGAGGCAACACAAGCATCAGTTTTTACATCCCTTGCGGAGCGGAAGTTCTACAAAATGCCGACAGCAGTAAAGCTTTTCTTGCCGCAAACGTGTGTGGCTGTACGTGTGGCTTTCGTGCTCAAACGACCCTTTACTTAACGTTGTCGCTGTTTTTTCTTGGGGCCAGGTCCGCGCGACGATCGCCCGCGACGGTTTCACGTCAACGTTTGAGGAGGCCGGCGCCACCGTTCTAGCCAACGCGTGCGGCCCGTGCATCGGGCAGTGGAACCGTTCCGAGAAGCAAGGGGAGAAGAACACCATCATCACCTCGTACAACAGAAATTTCGCCAAGCGCAACGACGGCAACCCCCAGGTATGGTAATACTAGCAAACAATAACTAGTATAGTATTTACTAGTATATTAATACTAGGCTAGGCTCTCCTACGTGGCTGCTGCTGGCTGCTGGGGCAGTGGTTGACTTGGTGGTGTTCGCGCCAACCCCAACCCGTGTTTTTGCGTGTGCATGCATTCCTCTGGTTGACGGTACCTCGGTGTGATGGTGACCGAATCGATGTACCTACCCCTTGCCCGCGTGGAGCCTGGTCCGGCGAGAACCCGGCGTGCTCCGTCCCGGCTTTGTAGGGATGCCAGGTCAATCGTCTGACGACTACGGCATCCACGACTATGAGTACACCCCCCCCTCCCTGCGCCCACTGCACGCAACCCATCAATCTTACAACACGTGGCCCTAGTTTCTCCATAACATGGTGTATTCTTCCGCCCATCCTATACCCCCCCCCCCTGGCAACACAACGACAGACGCACGCCTTCGTGGCTTCGCCCGAGATGGTGGTGGCAACGGCGCTGGCGGGCAGCGTGACCTTCAACCCGGAGACTGACTCCATCCCTACCGCGGACGGAGGGTCCTTCAAGTTCGAGGCTCCCTTCGGGAAGGAGCTCCCCGTGAAGGGATTCGACCCGGGAGAGGACACGTTCCAGGTGTGCATACAGGTCATCCGTGGGGTTTCTATCAATGGAGGAGCACAAAAAAATGGAGCTTGTTGTGTTCGCACGCTTTTTTGCTTTAATAGTGTATCCCTCTTGGTTTCCTCCCTCTCTGATCCCGCCGTTCTCATGGTGGAGGTGTATGCGTGGGTGTCTTCGTTTTTCACGTATGAGCAAACAATAGCGTTATTAGTGGCAGACTGTTGGAGAGATGGTGTTGCTCGCCGTGGATGGTTTGCGTGTGTGTGCGTATTTGGTTTATGGCAGCCGTTTCCGCCCCTGGTTATTTGCCGCGCGTTGGCGTTCCTCTGCTTTTTTTTTTCGTTGTCGCCTGTACATGTTGGTGGGCCTTCCCTCGCCTCTTTTTAGTTTTGTATTTTCTCTTGACGGGTACGAAGGGTCTCCTTCTCACAAGATACCCCCTCCCCCCCCATCGCTTGTATTTTTTGTTTTGGCAGCCCTCGCCGGAGGATGCGACGGGGCTGTCCGTGGCTGTGTCCCCCGAGTCGGCACGCCTTGCACTGCTGGAGCCATTCCAGGCGTGGGAAGGGACTGATCTCGAGGACATGCCGGTTCTTATCAAGGTAAGCAAGTCACAGTTGATGTTTACCCGCACTGTTGGTGAGGGTAATGATTTTGCCACCGTGGAAAGTCTAGTGTTTTTTATTACGTAGGAGCTAGGTGGCGAGAACGGCAGTTGATGCTTGTATTATATAGGTGATTTGGTCGGATTCGATTATATCAACGACTGTTTTTTTCGTGTGTGTTGAGTCGCTTTCGTGATTTCCGTTGTCGGCGTCCCCATTTTTCCCGCCGAATAACAAAAAACAAGTGAACTAACACGGTACATACATTCAAAGAAAAATAACGTTATTCCTCCTACGGCATGGATCAAGATTACTCTTCTCGCGACGGAAGCACGCTCGTCATGACGACATCGATGGCAAAAACAAACGTCCGCGCGCACGCGCTTGTCATGAGTCATGTTTTGAGTGCTATCCGCAACGTATGTACACCCTGTCGTGTTGCAGGCAAAGGGCAAGTGCACGACGGACCACATCTCTATGGCCGGCCCGTGGCTCAAGTTCCGCGGCCACCTGGACAACATCTCCAACAACATGCTCATCGGCGCCATCAACGCGGAGAACGACGAGGTCAACAACGTGCAGAACCAGGTCAGTTATTGCGCATGGAGAAGTATGCTACGTCACGCGCGGGATCTCCGAGTGTATTGCGTTGTTTTCGACGGTTTGCGTGTGCATACGTGCTTGCCCTTGTTGCCCTTACTCGAAGTTGAGGAAAGGATTAACGACCGATTTTTCCCGTATCTCACCCGACTCACACCCCGCCCTGAATCGTAGAATAGCAGAACCAAAGCGGTCTTTCTGCGCCCGGAACACCAGCAATTGCATGCACGGCACTCACAGAATACCTCCAGGCGGTATCCGCGCGGGACCATCCCGACACCGGGAGCACAAAGCCTCACGGCTCGCGTCTCGTCGAGAATTTAATCCAATTGGGGAAGCAGCCGCGGCACACGGCAATCTACATGCGGCACACACTTTCTACACCTCGAAACCCAATTCAAACCCGCAGATGACCGGGGAGTTCGGCAAGGTGCCCGACATCGCTCGCCAATACAAGGCGGCCGGGCTCGGGTGGGTGGTGGTCGGAGACGACAACTACGGCGAGGGGTCTTCGCGAGAGCACGCGGCGCTCGAGCCCAGGCACCTAGGGGGCAGGGCTGTGGTGGTGAAGTCGTTCGCACGCATCCACGAGACTAACCTCAAGAAGCAGGGGATGCTCCCCCTGGTCTTCGACAAGCCGTCCGACTACGACCGCATCTCGGGCAAGGACAAGTGAGTTCCTCCGAGTGTTTGGTTGGAGCGCGGTAGGTTGCCCCTCTGGCTATTGCCCGATCCCTCTGTGTTTTCATGACCACCAGGAGCTTTGTGATTGTGTTCGGCCAAGACACTGACCCCCCGTGTCCGATTAGTTTCAACCCTGCAATCTAAATTTACCGAAGAATATAAACCTGGGGTTCAATGAACCCCCCTTCGTCTGGGAGTCTGTACCGTATTGCGCATCGCGGCCTCTCCTAAGCGTAGTACTAATTCCCACACGCAACCGGCTCCCGTTGTTTGCTTCAGGGTGTCCATCAAGGGTCTCCGCACGTTCTCGGAAGGGAAGCCACTGACCCTCGAGGTCAAGCCCGCGGACGGGGGCGCGCCGTTCGACATTCAGGTTAACCACACCTTTAACGCGGAGCAGATCGAGTGGTTCAAGGCCGGCAGTGCGCTGAACTTGATGAAGGCGACGAACGCGTCGGCGTAACGTATTTTAGCTTCGGGAACAGGACTAGCGAGGGGGGCGAAGGTCCAACGGAGGGTTTCCGGTATCACATCGCGGGGGGTTGGAGTCGAGGTGTCCTCTCGTCACGACCAAAGGTCGTCGACATGGGGCGGGCGGCCAGATTAGAGCCGGCGGAATCGAGCATATGCATACGTCTGACGAGGGGAATGGAAATGTGGGAATCTAATAGGTTCATGTTTTCTTGATGCATCTATCACAAAGGGGGGGAGGCTGGGAGGTGGGCGAGGCATATTTCGCGGTGTCGTTTGGTCGCAAAGAGGATAAGGCTTGTATGTATGCTGCTCTTGGATTAGTTGCTTCTCTGACCATCCGATAGGGTGTATGCATACGAGAAGAGAAGGACGAGGATCGGCAAGTTGTCGACTCGTCATGTGCGCTTTCGATCACGCGTGTCTCCAACTTGGACGAAAGGGGTTGACGGGGGACACGCGCATTTTGGCGTATGGGGTGGATGTATTTTGCGTACGTATTTTCCTCCCCGCCTGCGTATGTGTCCGCCCCGTCGAAAGATGGCCGCAAGGATGATTTTGGCGTGCGCAAAGTAGGAGGGATTCCAACTGACGAGTGCAGGTGCTTTGCTGCGCCATGTGGGTCAGTTCAACGAAAGTGCTGCAATACGCTAGTTTTGTTATGTGTCGGGGGCATCAATCAAATGATTATTATGCACGTATGCAAGTTTTGGGGGTATCTTCGAGGTGGTGCGCGCGTGTTGTTGGGAGAGATGCAACCACAAGAAGTCATCCCATCAACAGCAACAAAAGTGCCAGCTCCGTAGAGGGGGGTCGTTCGAGAATAGTCATTGTGTCAATTCGCTGTCGACAGAACGTAAACGCAAATGGTCGTGGCCCGTTTCATGTCTTGCTCTCAAGCGGCACCGACGGGGGGATGACACCCTCAACAAATTTGCGCATGTGCTGGAACTGCAGAAAGAAGGGCAGGCGCATGTTGGTGTTGTGTTGAGTCCTCAAGGCCGTGGTTGCGCTAGGCGAAGTTATCGCAGGGCTTTCCAGGAATATAACACTTACTCCGGAGTAATTGTCGTACCCGGTGCAACAGCTCAATTCAGCATCTCAACCTCCCCAAGGTCGCACATTTTGTCTCACGCCCACACAATGAAAAACATTACGTCTTGTAGAGCAGGCGCGGCCCTGCTGCCTGTAGTGTTGGATGGTTGGGAGAGCAGCTTCTCTAAGACACACCGTAACACCCAAAACCACAATCAGCTATGTGTAGCCGAGATGCTTGCACGACCACTCCGACGGGAACGGTAAGCTACACGACGGCAGGCAGATGTACGTCCGTTGCGTTATTTTGACAGTGAACAACGAACAGCGTGATCAAGTTGATTTTTTCCGTCCGAGAGTCCTATCCCAAGAAGCAAACTCGACACCCGCCATGCAGCGCGTGTTCTCCTTCTACTGCTGCTGCTGCAGCCGCCTTTCGCGCAGAGAGTCTGTTGTGTGTTATGCTTGCTGTCAACCGGGACACTACGGCGGGTGTGTGCGTGTAATCTATCTTTGTTGTGTTAGCAAGAAGATGAATGAAGGACGTGGGGCATGATGACTCCTGCGGTAGAAAATCAAGAGGTGGGTGATGCGCTCCATGAGCAACGACGAGAGCAAGGCCTTATGGCCGTTTGTTCGGTGTGGTGTCGGTGTGCGTGCTGGTATCTACGACATACATATATGCATCACAGCATCGCTCGTCTGCCGCTCGCGGCCGGGGCCCCCGACTGCTGTGCATCCTACGTACATACCAGGAAGCCGACTGTTTTTGCCCCAAGAACAAGAGCGGCGCGATTACATCGCCCTTTTCCCTTTCCACTTTTCACAACACCACACCGCATCTCATAGAAGCGACAGGCAAAGTGCCAAACGGCGGCGGCAGTGGGGCGACCGATCGTCAACCCAGGCTCGATCGTCATGTCTTCAGCAGGAACTGGATCACGAGGTCGCGGAAACTACGGAAGGGCCGACAGAGACAGGTCGGATAGATACGAAGCGCCCTCACAGCAGCCGTTCCGGTGCCATTAGTGTGGAAGGCATCAGAACGCGGGACACACGAGGATCTCGATCACAGTTAGTCTCGACCTGAATCCTTATGGATTTGATCACTTCTGCGCTCATTGCGATCAATCGGAGGAGAGGATCGAGCGGCGAGTAGGTTACGATAGCCACGGCACAGTGGGCAACAGAGGCGTGAGTGGGAAAGAGCCGAGTTCAAGCCGTGGTAGCTCCCAGAATCCTACATGAGCTCACAAGTAGCAGCCGCAGCAGCAGCAGCAGCAGCAGCAGCAGCAGCATTCGCTGGAACTGGAGTCCCCCACGCAGCAGAAGCAGCAGCAACACTGTCGGGTGGCACATCTGAAGGTAGAGGGGCGGCGACGTCGGCGGCGGCGGGGGCGCCTGGGATTTTTTCATCATGTTGTAATTCTGGTCAAGTTTCCTCCCCTCTGTGACCGCCCGCCGTAAACATCTCTGACGACGTTTCCCAAGCTGATCGATTGGCAATTTTGGGATGTGATCATAGCCTCCAAAAAACGAAGCTCAGGCACGAGATGATACGGCTCACAGCGGAGCAGGCTCGTTTGCCTCGATTGCGATGATCGCAGCTTTGGGCCGCCGGCGCACCCGGGTGCAAGGGATCCGGCACTTGGTGAGAACTTAGACTATAATAGGCAGCCTAGGGGAAGCCTGCTGCATACTGCGTGCCTCGACATGTAGGCTCGCCGCAGGCAGTCACGCGCACAGATAAAACACAGCGCAGATGTCGCGCACGTATTTTCGTGAGTATGGTACTAGTAGACGGGGGCAATTTCACAAGAAAAATCCAGGGAGAGATTTGGGAGGGAGGACCATCGAGACTCGAGAAAGCAGTCCCATTGAGATGCAGTGTAGCGGTTACGGTATTACAGAGGGTCGTGACAAGCCAGTTACTGAGTATCCTTCTCGTGATTGCCGGGTGTTTCTTGTGCCGTGTTAAACATTATCTTCAACAATGAACGTGGTTTACAGCAGTATTTTCATTTCGAAAGGCTCAGGAAGATGAACGCTCTCGTTTGTACCCGCTGCAAAAAAGAGAGCTTGCGGCACATCATTCTTGTTTTGTTTTTTTGTTCGTCTCCCATCATTGAACTCTGTCGTCTGCCCCTCTGGCCCCTATCCTCCACTTGTACCAGCTAGACGACCCAATCAGGGTCACATAGGAGGGGGGGGGTTGGACCCCCTCCTGCGGTTCGTACAATGACATCCGTTGACGTCCGATAAGCGTTAGCACCACACTTACAATCTGTTTTGGCGAGCAATTACCGTTTACGTATTTTGGTATTTTGAACTGCTGTACAATTCCGTTGCCCGTTGGAATTTGCGTCAACAGTTGCATCCACTGTCAGGGGAGCATGTCCCTCACGGCGACTGCGCAAGACGACAGTTGAAAGGGGAAGGAGACCTTCGCTTGCCTCTTGTGCCCGACGCTGATCGGTCACGAGGCCCCCTACTATGTATGCTCGACCAGAAGGGAGGAGGCAAGCCCTGGACGGAAAGCCCAGTGCCGGCTACCTCCACGGTGATGGTAGCAGGTGGGTCGGCAAAGCGCAGCCGGACGGCAATGGCGCATGAGCTGAGCCGTACATCCGCGACTTGAACGGAGACGGGACGGGTTAACATGTGTCATGAAGAAGTGTAGGTACGACAAGAGAGTGGGATTACTCGTGTACGTGCAGGTCTTCCACTCGGTGGACTGGATCGCGCGGGAGACGAACACTGCCTAGCACTTGAACAACATTCCGGGGAGCCCTCCGTAAAAGTGAGTCAATTTTGCATGCGTGCTACAATTTCCAGGACCGCCCCGTTCATTTTTTCATGTCTCTATATTTAGCAAGTAACTGCTGTTGTCGAAATGTGCCGGGTTGTTTTCCTTCTTTGATTTTTACAACTGTTGCTGTGCTCTTGTGCGTATTGCTGAAGGTGTTTTTTTTTTGCAATTGTTGTTGTGCCCTACTGCTGTACCACTACCGCAATATCCTCGAGTTAGCCTTGGGGGTATCGATTTTGTTTGTTTTACAGTTTTTCGCAAACCACCTTTGAGTTGGTCGCGGGATGATATTTATTTTGCTTTCATCAACTTTTTGGGCGCCCCGCCGGGCGTTCACACACAAACCCACGGGCGGCATTCCCTCTTGGCAGCATTCTCGTCTGCCAGTTGCCTCAATCACCCTTCATGTGCGTTTGGTATGCTTCTCGTAGGTGTTGTTGAGTCCCGACATCGTCTGGGTCAACGCGTGAGCGCTGTGTTGCATTGTGCAGCAGGTGCATCAGAGCAGAAAAGAGCCGACGCCCCCCCCAGGAGCCGTTCGCCCCGTTTTTTTTTCTAGACTGGTCGCCCCTCTCTCTACCTCTGAGTTACCCCCGGGAGGCGTTCTCAGAGGATATTTCGGTATTGATGTACGATTATCCTTGGTGTACTCTGTTAACTTATTTTTTGCTTCGTGCGTATTGGTTGGTCCTTTTCGGTCCCTCCTGTTTGCCTGTTCCTCTTTATTTCCTGAATACAGGCGTAGCCTATGACCAAGCCAAGCATGGACTGCATCATCATGTCGATGCCGCCTCCCGATTTGTTTTGCGTTCGAATAAGGGTATGCACCTTCCGCCTTAAATGCGTGTACTCTTGAAGCCTTCATGCGCTGGTACTCGTAGTCGTGCATGCCGTAGTCGTTAGACCATTGACCTCGCATCCCTACAAAGCCGGGACGGAGCACGCCGGGTTCTCACCGGACCAGGCTCTCACATCACCAAGCGCGAAGCGCCGTGAGATATTCGGCGAGTCGCATGAAGGGTGCGCTGCATCCTGCTAAGGGTGTTCGGCATCTTGTGCTTACTTCCTTGCGTACGGATGACAGCTGCGTATGAGTTAATTTATATCCTGGTGCTTTCACTTCCTGAGAAGGTTGTAAGCACTGTGTAACTGCCTCGAGGGTGCTTGACCATTTTAACACAACGGGGTGCGATCATCCCCTTTGCGCGGAGTGAGGGTTGTCGACCCCGCACAGCATGATCTACTCGACCACCATTATGGGTCCGCCAAACAAAAAGAGGTAAAAAAAAAACCGGTAACCTGGTTGCCGAGTTCGCGAAGTGAATTGGCTTGTTTCACAACGTCGTTGCCAAGCGACGAAAACCCAACCCCGATGGCAAAAACCGGGGGGGGCGGCTTGTTTTACAACAATACGTCGTCGCCAAGCGACGAACACCCAACCCCGATGGCAAACACCGGGGGGGGGATGCGCTGGTAGGATGAGTAAAAACCATGTTGCTGAAACAAGGTGATTGCTTGTTGCAAGGTGTGTTTGCGCGAGCGAGCGATTTTCCTTGTATGTGATGTGGATGGGTGTGTTGCGGGGCAAGGCGACTGGAGTACCATTGTTACTTGCGAAAAGGGAGCAAGTGTTTCAATTTGTCTGTGCAAATTGTTTTTACGCACAAGGGAGATTGCGCCTTTTTTTTTCCTGAAGCTCGTGCTCGGGGCTCTTGAGTGCACAAAATATTTGCCTTGGAGGTTTGCAAAGATTGTGGAGATGCGGTGGCTATCGCCATCTTGTATCCACCAACGAATGTACTCGTTGCACAACAATAGCAGTAGATTTCAAATGCGATCGTGCATCAACCGCTAGGTCGCCGCACAACAGACACACTCGGGGATCAACACCGTTTGTATGCTAAGCAGGAGTTCATGGATTGCTGTTGCTAAACACAAGAATCTTTTCTGGCGCGTACGTTAAAGGCCGTTTTCAAACCTCTTTTTTAGCTCGGTACAGTGAGCGTACAGTAGTGATTGCATTTTTCGCGATGATCGAAAAGCCACTGCCTGAAGCATGTGTGCATGAGGAGTTCGTCCCCGCTTCCATTCTCAAGCTGAAGATATGAGCAAAGAAACAAAGCCAGCTTGGGACTAGCAACGCCGACAACATTCGTCGGCTTGCTTTCAACAAACCACTAGTCAGTGAGACTACGTCAGCGCTGATTTGTCTAATGGTTTGATTTCGGCTTCTGTAGTCTTATTAATGTGGATTAGTTCTCATGTTTCTCCGAAGCTCCGTTTCCCTGCCTCTCTCAGAAACACCAACGAACTCCCGAGAGTACAAGCCAACCAAGCAACCGCAACAAGAGATCGTGTATGCACAGAAACACCTTTTGGTGCCCTCCGGTGAGGCCGTTCAGATACAAAAGAGCCCCACCCGCGGGGCAGTGCGACACACGAGGGGTATCACGAGACCGTCTTAGGAGAGAGACCTGCTGATTCACCGCATGATCGTAACCTGATGTTTTGTCAGTGCCCATCATACCTCGTGCTTGTACAGCGAGAAACCGACCGCAAGGGCAGGGATAGAATCGGGTGATTGTAACAGTGACTGTCCTTCGGTGCCCCCGTGGAACAACAGCAGTGCATCAACCGCAAGAGCAGTGCATATCCAAGTCATGGAAACAAAAACGGGCCACGAGAAAATGCAAACCCAAAACGCGGTGCAGCAGTACGGTGACACTTGAAATTGGGCGTGACACCCACTAATTTACTGTGCTTGGGTCGAAATTCTACGACGAACGTGCGGTCGCGATCATGACAGTCAGCGGTGCGAGTAGACCCACTACCCCAACCTGAATGTCCCGCCATAGGTGTACACGACAGGATGCATTAGTGCCAACATCTTCACTGAAAGTCACTGAAAGTGCGACGCCCCCAGAGTTATCCTCAAATCCATTTCCTCCTACGGCGAAATTTGCGCAATACTGTGCGAGTCGTAGACCAACAATAAAATGCACGCAGGAAAGGAAAAAAAAAAGATCGGACTGTAGTTTCCACCCGCTCACGCCGCAAGGAAAAAACAACACGGTAGCTCGCTGCCCTTCGTGACATCGTAGCACGAGCTGAAGGAACCTTTCCGACACCAAAATCCTGTATCGCGTATACGACTTCTGCTTGCGAGCAGGGACGGTACCATGCATCCAAATACTCAACAACGCCGGAAAAGACTTACATACCTCGTCCTAGAGGAATCCTACGATCCTGCGGAAAACATCTTAGAGGCGCGCGGTGCCACTCCCTGCCGCCGCTCCTCCCCCTCTGCCGTGCGCATGTGCCCCGCCCAGCTCAACCTCGACCTTCACCTGCCCCCTCCTAGCCTGGCGGCTCGGGGGCTCACTTGTCTGCCGGATAGCGGTAGCTGCCGTGTCGGGAACGTCCACTACGAGCCGCAGCCTGTCTTGATGCGTGCGGCACATGACCAGGAAGCCTCGGCGACGCCAGGATCTGTCTTGCGGTGCATGTGTCAACAGCTTAGACAGTCGTTTGTATGTTCGGCGGTTTTCCTCATCCCATTCCGCTTCGTCGGCGCCGGCTGGAAAATGATACGAATAGGGAGTGTGGCCCTCGTCGTCGACAACTGTCTCGTCCGCCCCCCATCTCAACAGCAGGTCCACCGCTTCCGGCTCCACGTCGTAGCACGCCATATGCAAGGATGTAGCTCCAGTAGAGTCTCTCACGTGAACGTCTGCGCCCAGTTGCAGGAGAGTGAGCATGCCTCCGCAAGAGCCAACGTAGGAGGATGCTTCATGGAGAGGCGTTTGTCCATGGCACAACCGAGCTTCGATGTCGGCGCCGGCCTCTATGAGCGCCGGGATGACGGCCGCCTTCTTCGAGGCCAAATGCAGAACGGTCGTTGAATTTGGTGATCAAACGTTCACATTGGCACCTTCAGCCAGGAGTACTTTCATCGTGGAAACGCGATCATGCAGCACGGCCCAGAAGAGCGGGGTATAACCAATGGCATCAAGAGAGTCTACATCCGCCCTCCTTCGTACCAATGCCCTCACCACCTCATGTAAAAAGAGGCGGCTAGCGACGTGGATAGGGAAGGAACCTCGCTGGCATCACTCGTCTAGACCGCGGCCGATAGCGTCGTGGAAAGGCAAGGAACTCCCCGGGTGTTTGTTGTTGGGATTCGCTCCGCTCAGCAACAGGTCCTTCGCTACTCCAACATGACCACGCCAGATGGCGAGATGCAGCGGGGCTGTCCCGTTGGCATCCAGGATGTTCACGTCGGCCCCGGCCACCATCAACACCCCCCGCGGCTGCCTCGTGCCCACCTGATATCGCAACATGGAGTGGAGTGCTCCTTGACGCAGAACAAGTTGTGTTGATCTCCCCCCCAGCACCCGCACTGCGCAACGCCGACACGATTTGTGCGTTGCCGCCCTCGGCAGCGGCATGTAGCAGAGTTCTGTCATCACACCCCCGATAGCCCGCACTCCCGTCTGCTCCAGCTTTCAGCAATTTTTCTACCAAATCATGGTTACCCGTGCATGCTGCATGCTCGAGAGGAGCCCCCAGTCACTGCACCCATTGCTCGGGCGTCGCCCTATCCCACACCAGTTTGAAGGTCACCGCTCCTGCCCCCTCCAAAATGCTTGCACGCTCGTCGCACGGTAGATGCGCATGTACCTGAGCAGGACCACAATTTAGGTGCAACAGCAACAGCAGTAATAGGGGACTGGTGCTCCCACAGAGTTGAATGGGGAAAAAAACTTCCAGCCAGAGCTGAATTGAGGGGGGGGGTAGCGTAGAGGGGCTGAGCACGAGAGGTAGAAACACAGCCCGACGGCGACAGCACCGACGCACCGACTGCCAACAGCAGACAGCAGAAGTAGCAGGGCTGGGGGCTCCGTGCTTATAAGCGACCCCCCAGTCAATGAAGGCATGATGGTACTACCCATGCGGGACCCCCGCGAACCTGTTGTTGTTGTTGTTGACTTCACATTAAACCGTATGCCAGTTGCTAAATGCCAAAATCTAGCAAAGACTCTCGGCCCGTGGTCACGAAAGTGCTAGAGCCATCTGAGGATCTAAAGAACACGCACACGTAGCAAGAAAAAGGTGTACAAGAGCCCGAA